CCCCAACTCTTATTTTCCTTTTTCTTTGTAAAATCAGGGGTGAAAAGCAAATGACCCAAACCTACAGAACCTGAGACACAATTCTAGGTTAACTGGGAATTTATTGATGGGCTGATTTGATCTTTATAAAGGTAGAGACATCTCTTCACAGACAATATATAAGTTCTCTCACAAATGATCATACCTTAAATTTATAACACAATCATTACTATTATATAGGAAAAACTACATGGCAAACCTTTTCTCTTGTAGAATATATATATTCTTCGAGGCTATTTTTGAGCTCTGCAGTTATCCTCCTTTCAGCATCCTTTTTGTCAAGTGCCTCTAATTTGATTTTAGCTTCAGAAATTGATTCTTCTGAAAGAACAGATCCAGGGCCTGTAGTTTTTTCCAGTACCTACAGCATATGGATTTACTCTAGTTTCAGTTAATCTCCCCTTGACACTTCAAACATAACAGAAGCGAACAAAAAGCCAGCAGTATAATCATTCAGGTTTTACCTTCAATGGTACCCTAAAGGTTTTCTTCTTTAATACTTTTTCTGTAATGATATCTGAAGCTTGCTCGCCTTTTGTAGAGTTGGATGAGCCATTAGTACTATCAGCAGAATTCAGGTTTTCTGCATTATCTTGCGAACTGTTTCCTGGACTTGTTTCAGTAGATACGTTAAAGCTATTAGTGGCATTATTCTCCAATGTTGTGTTTTTCTTAGGAACTTCTACCCACTCAGATATCTCAATAACCGCCTCAGCTCGATCCAGAGATAAAACTCCACTTCTGCTCAAAGAAAAATGCAGATTTGCTTTGATGGGAGCTGAGAGATTGCGAGCCACATACCTAGAGAAGAAATACACTGAGTTAGCAAAGTAACTAGAACAACACGTAATAAAGCAAATTAGTAATGCAACAATCTAATCAACATAAAATGCATGACTGGCAGTCCACAAAAGCAACTGATAAAATACAAAAGAAGTTGCCTATAGCTAGTTGGGTCCATAGGTAGTTGTCTTACTTTTCACTGGCTTCAGTCAGACCCAATACTGAATATTGTGCAAATATATAAGTAGAAACTCCTGGGGGCAGTTCATTCACTTTGTCATAGCTAAGAGAAGCTTCAAAGTCCTTGTTATGTTTGATAGACCTGAATAACTGTTCAACAAAAGGTCATGACGATAGCCAAGAAGCTCAAGTCCAAATAGGTGTTACCACATCAGAGAATAATGTGCACTGTTAAAACTTAAAAGTAGGTACGAAGTTTCTACCTTGATGGGCATTTTTTTCATCCGTGGTATAAGCAACATATTAGTATTCTCATCTTTTAAAAGATCAGGGCCATCTAATTCAAGCAAAAAGCCATAAGAAGATCCATCAATCATTCCTAGCTTACGGTTCAGCTTGATGCCATCACTCAAATTTGCAGCATGCAACGATGAGCCAAGAACTATTGCTTCATCAGCATCAAGGTGCTTGTCCAGATAATTCCTTCCAAGAAATTCCTGAAGCTTCGCCTGCATGATGCATTGTAGACAGGCAGTTACATCACTACACTTCTGTAGCTGATGAACAAGAATCTTCAACATGGCATTCATAAATAATTACAATAATAATAACATCAAAGCCGTAAGTCCCAATTGTTTGAGATCGACTATATAGATCTTTTACCGCCATGAAGATCTGTAAGAAATCATATATTTGATTAGGTTCAAAGTACTTAAATCTTTATTTATAATTTCTATTAAGATCTTTTTAGGTCTTCCTCCACCTCTCCTCATACTGTAAATATTAATTAATAACAAAAATTTAAATCTCAGTCTTGTATAGTACCAGCATACTAGTGGTACCTGGGGCTATAGCACCTAGTATCACCAGAAAAAGAAAAAAAATTGTATAGCAATCATACCGACCCATATGGTTTGGTGCGACCGGTATTGGAAACCTTGATTAAGGGCCATACTTTAGAAAGTGATAGGTATAGCACGTAAATTATTCATCAAGATGCGTATAGGATTCAGCCACATGCAAATGTGTTTCAATTATGCATCAATTATTTTACATGGTATCAACTTGCGCAAGCATATTGCATAGACTTCTGAAGTTTGTGCATATGGAACTGCATGCAACTTGTTTTGACATCAAAACTATATGACTTGATCTTATTGACAACATATTGTAAATTTTCTGAAAATATCAACCGATTAGAACAAATACAAAACAATGAGAAATTTCTACCTAAACGATCATTCGGAATTCATAGCAAGTACATTTAAATATAAGCATCTGTAAAAGAAGAAATCTAGATGGCACAAATAATAGCGAAAACATACTTTGTACTACATTTGTCATGGTTTTATATCCAATGCCAGTTATACTTAAGGGTGACTAAGGCGAGTGATACCAATTTATCTAGGCCAAATTTGGTAAGTAAAAGATGTTTTTGTTAAAAAGCCAGCACCTCAGATTTGCCAACCAGTATGAGAAATAAGCAGATGCTTTAGACAAGCACTACTCCTTTTCTTGTATTTAGATTTTAGATAATGATTATTAACCAAGACAGCATATCAACCTATGTTATACATAATCTTCATTTTACATTAATACACCTTCGTACAGTCTCTTTATTTGGCTTGGTTATTGATATACCATCATGGAACTTTGAAATCCAATGCAATTCGAACAGCACCTCCAATGGACAACATAATTAATCAAGTCTTAATCTTTTTAATCCTTGCTATGAAGACTTTTATGCAAGCAGAACTGCTCAAATTCACCTCTTCATATTATGAGGTCACTGTCCGTCATCATACTTACTTAGCTGGTCACTCATTGCATTTACTACTGATGTTGAAGGCAACAGCATCCATCATAATTTTATATCTAGCAACTCTATTATAATTTAGTAGTCAATCAGCCTTCTCCAATCAAGCAACGCTAGAATAAGTTGTCCCTTTTAATCTCAAGCTCTCTATACTTATGAATTGATTAACATGCACGATAACACGGATTAATTTTTATCACATCTCACTTGGTTTCATCTGATATAGGTTACTGATTGAGATCTCAATTGACAAAAATCCTGGTTCTGTACAAGAAATTTAACCTATGTGTATCTGGTCAATATTGAGTTTGTTGAAGGAATCTTAATTAGTCAGGATAGGTACTAAAATATATGATCCATTTGCATCAGAACAATGAACAACATGCTGAATAGAGATGTAAAATCAGTATTGGTGACATAGGTCATCCACACCAACACCGCTCAATATTCATGATGACCACTCTGAGCCATGAAAGCATTTCTGTAGTCATAATACAAGAAACTACGGCAAATCATTTTGTAATGACCACTCGGCTAAAGCTTTCTTCAGAACTCCAGCTTGTCTATGCAATAATGCAGGGAAAAATTTTACACAATTACAGTTTTCAATGGAAAAGAAATAATTTAAGGTTACCTGTAATTTTGGCACACGAGTAGCCCCACCAATCAGCTCCACAGCATAGATTTCATCTATCTTCAAGCTGGAATGTCTCAGCACCTCTTTTACTGGCACAAGCACCCTCTCCCACAAGTCTGCACATAGTTCTTCAAATTTTTCACGGGATATTGTGCTTCTGGAACACACAAACAATGAATAGTTTCAGTGATTGTTTCCTAAAGGTATGCTACGAAGGCTGCATATAAACATTATCGTATAACACAAACTTGGCCAATATTAGTAGTTTGGTAGCAATATGCAATTAGAAACACTTTTTATAACACCCATTAAGATTCAATACAATATCTTTAAATATTGTAACTTTATACCTCTTAATGCAATGAGTAATGCTCTTAACCCAATGAGGAATGCAAATAAAGAAAAAAGAACATCTTATATAATCAATTATCCCCTAGTACATGCACAATTATGCAAACAGAACAAAACAATGAACATTAAACTCAATAATTTAGTAGTGACAAAATTTAAGGTTTACTCAAGTCATAAACATTCCACAACTATTTTTAACAATCTGAATAATATGATAAAGTGCTAGTAATATAAGTACTAGACATATATTGGCAATATGAAAAACAGCGTAAGATTCATGTCATCAGAGAGGAGAAAATCTGATCAGCGCCAATATGTATATTGTGTTGTTAAGCTTCATGGTGGTTATACCTGAAATCAAGGTCCTCAAAGAGGGATTCCACTGAAACTGGGGCTACCGTATTTGCACTCAAAATTTCTTTTGTACGCTTGACTTGTTTCTTCAGTTTAGCCATTGCCTTAGGAGACTTCCTCACATCAATTCCATTTCCTAATTGCTTATTGAACTCATCAGCAAAATACTCCACCAACCGCATCTCCATATCTTGACCTCCAAGTTTAGCATCCCATCTAACATCCTTTACCTGACAAAAAGTAATATGCTGGGATGAAGTTCCTACAATTTTTAAACAGAAGAAATCATATGTTTGACATGACCCTGGCAGGTCAAATTTTGCCGCATGGAACAAAGTTTAGACAATATGCAAGTTGGATACTGAATGGAAGTCAAATGAATGGACGAAGGTCAACAAAGAAAATGCGACTAGACTAGCAGTCTAAAAGGAAATAAGGGAAAACCGAAGTTGAAGAATTTGAAGAACCAAATTATCAAACCCCAACACATATATAATGCAGGAAATACAATAAAGAAACTTGATAGAATAAACAATTGATAGCCTTCACAGCTAATATCAGTTGCTATTGAATCATTAGGCTTATCGCTCATGCATAACCACAATTTTGGCAGAAATTGGAACTAGTAATAAATATAATGTCTTTGAATGCTTAATGCAAAATAACATGGTTTAAATTTTCACAGCACCAATCATGTGAGGCATCAGAGAAAGGTGTTAGACCTTCAATCCTAGAAAAAGCTCCTGGTACCCGAGAGCTCACTGTACCTATTCCCTCTTATTCTCCAGATCTTTTAGTATTACTGCTACCCATTATTTGTGTTCTTTACTGTAAGATGACATCAATCATGGACAAACATTGATCAATTTGGTGACAAACAATCTGTTTGCTGAGAGCTGTCCAAGGTTCCAACAAATAACCAACCTAAATTGCTTAGTTTCAGACTAAGGTCTTTCAGATCAACCCTTGTGAGCATTGCCCAGAAAATTCCTTCACCAAGGTCTAACATAAAATATTCTAAATCTCATCCTTAATACAGCTCCACACAGGCTGTGATTTCATTTATCGAGTTCAGTAAGCTACATTGGAGCAGGAACATTTTAATTTATTTTTCAGTTGAATAAATTTTATAAGTTAGGAGCTATTTAAAAAAATCATAATCAACTTGACGCATGGAAACATCTCCTATGTATCTATTTGAGTATCTTTGCGTAATCTTGTCAGATTGAAGATGGAGACCAAACCAAAAATGGATGTAGGAAGATTGTTTAAGGAAATTTATCCCTTGAGTAACAAAAAAAAAAATGAAATATAGCTTCCTCGGTCAAATGTATGCCACATTTGAAATTTATCAGGGTAAAACCAAAACTTACCAGGAACTGATTAACAGATTTTGTCTTCCCGATCTCCTTAGTATTGTACGCCGAGAAGTAAACTAGAGCAGCGTAAGTGCTACTGGAACCCATATCGTAGAGTATAACATGTCGTGACTCGTTCGAGAAATCCTTATCGAGCCCATACTGCAAAGCAGCGCCAGCGTGCTCGTTAATCAGTGAAAGCACATTGATCCCAGCCAGATGCGCCGCCTGAAGCACTCCCCTCCGTTCCGCCTGGCCAAAATAGGGTGGCACTGCAATCACCGCATCCTTCACCGGAACCCTCGCGTGGGACTTCGCTAAGCTCATCCCATAACTAAGGATCATCGCAAGCAACTCCTCTGCGGTATAGACGGTGACCCCATCATCGACCCTGATACCGGCGGCCCCTCTCGTGTCCTCGATGAGATCGTACGGTAGGTAGAGCGAATTGGCGAGATCCTTGGCATGCTTATAAGACTTCCCAATCATGTCGCGGACCAATGAGTACACCTTATCGGGGTACCTCGCGACGATCCCGGCGGCCTCCTCGCCGACGAAGCGGTTACCACCATGGAAGGCGACGAGGGCCGGGGACTTCCGTTTGGACATCTCGTTGATGGCGATGGAGATCGGGCTCTGGCCGGGCTTCAGGTTGACGACGGCCACCTTCATCCATTCGGAGCCCAGATCGATGCTCGAGACGGCCGATTCGGAGGGAATAGAAAACGAGGAAAAGATCAAAAATAGGGCCAAGCGTAACCGGATTCCAGCCGCAGATCTCATCATCTTGGCGGCGGCCGATCTCGAGCGCCGGCCACGGATCGAGATCAAGAACGGATTTCTGGTAGCGAAAGATGGGATCAGAAACCAGGGGATGGGGAACGGGAGGGGAATACCACCATTGGAAGATGATTAGAATTAGGGTTTGGAGAAGTCGCCTCCGCGGGAATTGGAATTGGAGCTCTACGGAAGGAGGGAGGAGGGAAGCGGAGCTCACTCTTCTCTTCCGGAGTTTTCTTACTTCTTTATTTGATTTTTCACCGCTTTATTTTCTTTAAAATAGTTGTCCGTGTCACATATACACGTATAATAGATCAAGGGAAAATTGGACCCTAAAAAAGCGAATTACTACATGGAAAGGCCGAAAACAGCCAATGGAATCTCGCCACGTTGACTGAGTACACATGGCAGTTGGTGGTAAGCAGGGCGCGTTGGGAGATCGTGGGTCCATTCCGCGGGCTGATTAAACTCTATGGGACAATCTTGGCCGTTGATAAATGGACGGCGATGACAACTTCACGCCAAGTTTCCAACGGCCCAATAGACATCTCGATCTGTAGGCCAAGGCTTCTCTAATCAAACAGTCCGGCCCAGATTTGTCGTGGCTCATGACCCTAAGCCTCGGACCAGCCCACCTCACAAACGGATCCAACATCTACGATGTTGAGATCATTTATACGCATCTCTTTAACGTTGTTGAACTCTATAAAAAATAATACAAATCCATATTTAAATTAAACATAATTAAATTTTATTTATATTTTTTGACTATATTATATATAGATCTTCTTAGCACATAATTCTTCGTGAATGAAAATATTTTATTTTTGTTAATAACTTTACACATCTAGTTTGATATAAACTTTTTTTTTTTCATATATTGTTTCTTAGGGACCAAACGATCATATCTATAAAGCATCATTGGCCTAAAAACTATGTTATAGAATCGTTGTTGATCACACAAAACTGATGATGTCCTCCTCTACTTTAAACATCATCCGAAGAAGAAGATGAGGAGGGAGGGAGGAGGACCACAAATGCACTAGGAAAAGAAGATGCATCAAGAAGAAATGCTAAAAACGTAGTGCCCGCCACACGGATGAGGAAAGATGAGTTGGCCGGCCATCACTGCCAAATTTATCATCACCCACTCCACTACTTGAGTTCTTTGCTTGTGGCCAATGAATTCCTTCCACATGATAAAAAAGATTTGAGTTGAGTTGAATCATCATTTGTCTCAAAAGTTTATGTTGAGTCCATTCATATACTTACTTAACTCTACTTGAATGATCGAGTACTGTAGTGTCAGAGGTCTTGCCATGCACCTTAAAAGCACGAATGTGGAGAGGGAACAATAAAATATCAATCTTCTTCGCATCTCTATCTAAGCTTTTAAGCTCTACAATTCCCTTCCTATTGTCTATCTCTGTAGAGTTGCGTCGCTTGCAGATGCGAAGAGTTTGATTAGGTCGGAGCTCCTTGAGATGTATGGCGTTGTTTCTTTAATGGGGGCGGTTTAGTTAGGGATGTGGAATGGAACAAATGCTCCATCTCTTATTGCTCACATATGATGACCCACTATGTATTTTCTTAATCCCTTATTGCTCCATCTCTGTCTTTTACTTTACATGAGTCTGGTTTTGATTGCATGCAGAGATCGAGGAAGGCTATTATCGCACTGCAGCAGTCACCTACAACGTCATTGCACTATGCTACAATTATCTAAACACCTATGAGTCAGTGTGAGCCAATCCCTCTTATTTTTAATACCTCTACCGAAATTAAGCAATAAAAGAGAATAGAAAGATGCATGTAGTCATCATCGTCATCCCATTATTACAACCACTAGGCTTAATTAGCAATCGTAAATACATCAGCAACATTAAGCACGGAAACACCCCAACATATATCAGACTCTGAGACACATCAATCGAACTACTAGTCCCACAAACCAACCTAATTAAGAAGCTTAAGGTGACAAATAAAAAGACAAACGCAGAGCATGAAAGTAAAGAAGGAAGACGAACTCAAAGCATGTGTGTGTGACTAAAAGCCTCGATATCATGGAGGAGCCACAGTCCCTGCAGCTGCTCAGCGGCGCCGGGCGGCTGGCTCCTTCTGCGAGTTGAAGTAGACGGTGGCGACGGGGAGGCCGAGGTCGTACTGGGCCGCCAACGACCGGGTGTTGAAGTTGGCGCGCGTCGCCGGGGGCGCCACCCCCGGCAGGCGAGACTTCTGCTGGAACAGCACCAGGACGTACCTGTGGATCCCCACCGGTGGCCTGGGACCCATGTACGGGACTGCCTCCTGGCCTGCCCAACCAGAGAAGCAAACGTGGTGAGCAAGAGTCCGCCGGCGTCATGCAGCACACGACAGGTGTCGTGCCGCCGGTGAGCCACCTCTCAGGCGGAGGCAAAGTGTGACATGTGTCAGATGTAGAGTTCAACAAGTGTGGGGTGCCATATGAGATCCAGTGGAGGAGTTCGTAATTATGTGGGTTTGTAGAAGAGGTTACTTTCTTTGAAGAGAGGGTTTGTGGAAGAAGATCTCAAGTTGGATGCACCGTTCATGCAGTGGCCAAGAGAAAGAAGACTTTTGGAACATATGCATGCAGGTCACAATCATTCACCATAAAGTCAATGGTCATTTCTAGCCTTCTCTTCTCACTTACCTCGAGAAGGATCCGTTCCACCCGGCATATTAATCACCATCCTGAATCCACAGATACAACAACAACAAAGAAAAAAAATTTAGAAAGGAAGATTTTGCATTTACAGACGACCATATATATAGGTACAGGAATGATACTATAGTCACAATAAGCAATTAGAAGGGTGATTACCAGTGGAGCCACTCCCTCATTGTGGGATCACTTGGGCTGGGTGCATCAGGGTCAGTCATTACCTGCACACCAGAAAGCTCCCCTGTAATCCCTTTTTCGACTTGAATTCAAGTAACGAAAGAAGAAAGAGGAAACGTTCACTTCAGCAAACAAGCAAGCGAACCCCCAGAAATAAGCTTCACAGACCAGAGTATAGAGGTCGGCCTGCCTGCCTGCGATCTGCACCGACGGCGGGTTGGCAGCCATGGAAGGTTTGATGTCGCAACCGTTGTTGACGTGCTTCAATCCAAACCTCACCATCATGCTTATGGTGGGCACAAAAAGGTCTACCACATCTCCTATCACCCTCCCCACCACCAGGGGATCCACATAGCCAGCCATGCCAGTTATCTACTGGTTTATTACCTAAAACCAAAGGTCACAGAGGAAGTAAACCAAGAAAGTGGCGAAGAGGTTGCAAAGAGAAGAGGAACCAGAGGATGTGTGTTCAAGGTTTAGGGTAGCTGTTCGAGGCTTTATGGCAAGAAAAGCGTGGTCGAGGGCGCGGCGATGGTAAAGCATGGATATATGTCGTAGCGTAGGGTTCTTCTCGGACAAGGCATGAGAGCGACACGTGGAGGCCACTAGGGGAATTGAACAGGTGTCAATCACAAGTGGATTATGGGGATTCGCTGATAGGAAGGCGGGGGATGCAAACGCAGGGTGGGAGACGAAGTCGGTTCAGCCATGCACGACATCATCTGCGTTCGCATGGACGAATGATCCGGACAGATTTATCCTTTGGGCCTTCCTGCGCAGGATTAATACTCGTTCTTCCTTCCGATTTCGGAGCACAAGCATATATGATCACCATGCAATCACGTTCAAGTTTTCCTGCGCTACAGCATGCGATCACCGGCTGAGGATGTAGCGATAAGGATCAACCTGAATCATGCAGCAAGAACAATATGTTGAGCGTTACGTCATCCAAGATATGCAGGAGCAGAAGCCTCCAAAGAATGGTTTCGAAGGGTGTGAGGCACGCATAGGGAACGATGACGCAAGGCTTGGAGGGATGCGCAAGAATCTGCACAGGAAGCCAAGTGGATCCAAGTGGATCCAAGTGCACCACCAGGTGACTCCGGCATGGAGCTTTTGTTTGGTCGAATAGCAGCGAGGAGAGAGCAGAGCGCAAAATTCTTGGTAGGCTGCACATGTATCGATCCCATCAAATCGAGCCACCTGTTGATAAGGAAGAATTAACACGACGTCGAAAGCAGAGTTAGCCTTCCTCGACCTGATACGTCCAAGGAAGCAACTCAAGTACAACAAAACTAAAAGCAGCAAAAGAAGCTCTATCGACTTACTTCCTCAGAACGGTGGTCTCTGTATCTGCTTCGTCTACGCAGCAGCTACCTCTTCCGACTTCCTAATTCCTTCAGCCAAATCGATCCAAGGCTCCTTGTTATATAAACACGATCTAACTTGAGAGTGATGATTTGATAATCTATTATTGCCGAGATTAATAACAGCCAACCAGCTGCAATTTTCTAGTGATGATGGAAGATATCCAAAGAGACTATTATAATTTAAGTTCAAGAATTGAAGCTGATCAAAGTTTTCAATTGAAGAATTGAAGAACTTTTGTAAAGAGTGGTGATGTGTTTTTATATAGGTTTTGAGGAAAAGATTTCCCTCCATCATATGCTTAAATTATTCAATCAAATCATGCACTATGTGGTTGATGCTTAAATTTGATTGAGAATGTAAGGAATATAAGAATATCATTCTATATTTGCTTTTGTCATAATCTTTTATCATGCCCTCGCAAGATTGAGCTTCCGATAAGGATGTCAATTTTAGACCATTGTAATTGAAATACGTTATGAATGAGAGGCTTTGTGATGCAATTTGTTAGTTGGTGGTTGTGAGAAACATGTAGTTGATGTTGGACAACTTGATCTCTAACAAAATGGAATTTAATGACAATATACTTCATGCGTGAGTGAAATATTTAATTAGTGCATAAGTATGTGGCACCAACATTATCATAGTATATTGTAGAAGTGGATTTAGATGTGATGCCAAGTTCATGTAGCAGATTGGTGACCTAGTTGAGTTTTACAGTGGCAATAGTGATAGCTCTTGGTATTCAGCTTCAGTAGTGGATCTTGCGATTGTATTCTATTTCTTAGAATTTCAACTGATTAAATTTGCTTCAAGGAAGACAGTGTAGGTTGACATAGATGTTTTATCATCAGTATTGCTTGCCTAATCAACATCGACGAAGGCATGAAGATGAAATGATGAGTATTTACAAAGAATAAATCCATAATTGAGAGTCTCTTTAGGATACCACAGAAAATATTTTAGTATAGACCAATACATAGTGGAGGGATGATACATAAATCATGATAATTTATTGACTACAAATGAGACGTATGAATGTGTGTGAGAGATATACTATAATTAGGAAGACGTAAGTATTTGCCAATACTATGTAAGATCCATAGTAGAGTTGTCATCATATAATTTAAGTGATTCAATAATGGAGAGTGGGATGATGATTTCTTTGACATTTTTCATGTTCTTATTTGATAATAGATCTTGAATGTACTTCTTTTGAGATAAAAAAAAAGTCTAGAATATATGAACGTTGCTTCTATTTCCAGAAATTAGCTTAAGGTTCCTAGATCTTTGATATATAATCGATCTAACAATTACTTAAAAATTACTTGATCTCCATGAGATTATTACTTATGATGATAATATCATCTACATAAATAAGTAGATATATAGTACCTTTCTTTTGTTATCATAGAAATAAAGATGTTTTAGATTTAAAGTTGATGAAGTCATCTGACATAAAAAATTAGCTAAGTTTAGTATACTAGGCTCTTGGAGCTTAGCGAAGTTCATAAATAGCTTTTCGTAATTTATAAACATGACTTAGAAATTAAAGATGGATAAAACCAAGATGTTGCTGCATAAAGACATCTCAGTTAATATCCCATGTAAAAAAATATTATTAATATCTAGTTGACATATATGCCAATCTTAAGTGATAGCCAAACTCAAGATGATTCAGATTATTGTCACTTTAACAACCTGAATGTTTCTATAAAATCAACACGTGATCTTTAATGAAACACTTTAGCCACTAGATATGTTTTGTATCTGAGAATGAATCCATTTGAGTTTCGCTTAATTTGAAAAATCTATTTACATCCGATAATATTTTGTGTGTGGTGAGATAGTACAAGGGTCCATGTGGCATTATAGAATAGAGTATCATATTTTTTATACATGGTTTTACACCCATATAAAGAATTTTAGGCTTATGTGATGATTGTTGGTTCAGATGGAGAGCTAATAGTAGCATAAAGGTTAAAGATTTGATGTGTTTTGAAAATATCATTTTTTGAGCATATTATCATGTGATGAAAATATTATTAGGTTATATTGTAGGTATGAGAATTGGTGGAGTTATGACACATACCTAATCAAGCTGATGTATTCTGGTGTTACTTGGATTAAGAGAAGACAAAAACATCATTTGTGGTATCGATTCTGGTGTTACTTGGATTAAGAGAAGACGAAAACATCATTTGTGGTATTGAGGGTATTATTTTATTAGGCATTACAGGGTGAGTTTGTGAAGAAGTAAATAGAGAAATTGTAGAAGGGGTGAGGTGCTGTTAAACTGGAGTGATAAGGGAGTACAGGTCTAGAGGAGAACTGCTGATTGATGTAGTGAAAGGTGCAATTGGGAGATTTTGATGTATACTCATATGAACCCAATGATGTATGGTTGTTGTAGTAGCTCGTATTGTTGAAGGAACAAGATTTTGGAAAGGAAATGTGGACTTAACAAAAATAATATGACTTGATACAAATACCTTTTAAGTTTGAATATCATAATACCGAAATGTATTATATTCAAAAGAGTGCCCAATGAAGATGCAAGGCATGAATTTTGGTGTTAACTTGATGTATAGGGGCGTAGCCAATGATAATATAAACAATCAAATATTTTGAGTTTTTGAAGGCTTACGGTATTGTGAAATAGTTTTTCAAATTATAACTGATGTTATAGGATTGGGGTGAGCATACAATTAATAAAGTGGACTATAGTTTGAAAGTGTGCTGACTAAAAAGTTAGTGGCATATAGGTTTGGTGGAAAAATGTGAGTTTAATTTCAACTATATATCAATATTTTCATTCAACATAGCCAACTAGTTAAGGTGTATGTGGTAGTGATTTAGGATGTTGTATACCACAAGATGAGAGATAAGTTATCAGAGCTTGGTTTTCACCTCCTCTATTAGAATAAATTATTTTAATGATAGATTGGAATAACTTCATGACCATCTTTCTAAAATGGATAAAAATTCTAGTAACTTTATATTTATATCTGAGAGGGTATAGTCAAATATATTTGGTGAAATAATATATGAAAATAACATAAAATCTAAAATTATCAAATGAGGTGGTTGGGGTAGGACTCCATACATAGTATAAATAATTTCACGTGATTTGAAGTAGAATATAAAAAATATTCCAAAAGATATAACTTTCATCGTTAAAACAAGCATTATAATGAATTGCAATTTTACTTGAAAATAAAAAAGGAGTAACAAAATATTAGCTATTATTGAATGAAGGATGATATATGACTAAGGCGATGGTATCACACGTTGATTGGAGTAGCAACTAAAGTAAAAGTGATTGATTTGGTGATTTATGAAGTTAATAGTCATTCTTAGATATTATTTTTATTCTGGCCTTGGACCAAGAATGCTCTTATGCTCAGATCTTTTACAAAAAACGAGTTAGGAAAAAACTCCATAAAAGTATTATTTTGTTTGCAGAGATACAAAGATAAGATTTTATTTTATGTCAGATGCATATAAAATATCATCAAGTATAAAAATGTTTATATGTGGATTAAGTGTTATAAATCAGAGGTGATATTATGAGAAGCACTATAGTCAACAATCCAGTTATTTAGATGAGTAGTCGGAGTAGTCATGATGCTCACTTGAGGTCAATTGGGTGTGGTGGTAAGCTTAAGTCGAGACCAACAAACTTTTACTGTGTGTCCAATTTTATGTGAGATGACTTTTTATTAATTATTATTGTTGAGACAACAAAACCGTTAATAATTGTAGTTGAAGTTATTTTTTAGGTTGTTTAGATTAAAGTTGCCAACATGGTTGGAGGTTGATAGTATAATAGAAGATGATAATTTTGTGTGTTACCCATGTGTTTAGGAGATATCTTGTTCAATTCTTTATTATAGTTCTTGTTTTGATTAACATTTCTTTTGGACTTTTGATTGAATTGTGTTATGATAGATGGTTATGTCATCTACTATTCTTGTTTTAAATATGTTTCATAATCAACCAACTTGTCATACATTTCTTCGAATGACATCGGTGAGTCACGTATCCGAATTGCTATCGTTAGCTTTTTATATTCATCTATTAAGCCACTGAGAATATGAATAATGCTTTCTTCATTACTCAAGCGATGACCCATTAATGCTAAGTCATCTATAATAACTTTTAGATTTTACATATAATCAATAATAATACTTCCTCTTTGGGTTATTTTCATCGAGGTAGAAGAGATAGTATTTTCATAAAAGACCATACTTCTATCATATCGCTACATAAATAGATTAATGATGCTATAAAGCTAGTAACCGAGGCTCGAATAATTTCTAGAATAATATAGTCTATACATAATCATAATTTATAATTAGGATTTGCTATTAGGGTTGGTTATCCTAGTAATTAATATTTTTGAATGGACAATTGAGAAAGCCATTGACATAGTCTAGTACATGAAGAGAATGTTGGTAAACTAAGCTCTTCAAAATACATAATTACTGCCTAAGGATCAAAGTTGCTGCATTAATAGACGAGAGTCATATAGGTGGAGAGCAAATATTGTTCCCTAAGAGAATAAATCACCGAAACTTAGGAGCTAGAAGAGGAAGAAGACATGATTGTTGGATCGTCGAAGGAGAAGGCACGCCAGAGCAGTAGACAGTAGCAGATGATGTAGTTGAAGAAGCCGATGGAAGGTAGTTGGGAGAAACCAGTGCTTGTGTTGCAGTGATGTCTGATGTTTTTGATCTACGGAGGAGGAAGAATCGTCGGTGCATTAATGAGGCAGCAGATCAGCGGGAACTATCTGTTACAAATTGCCAACGGATTGGTCAGATCAGCGAGGTGGATGACTGATCAAATCAGCAATGAAGGGGGGAACGATCGCCAGAGACGACAGATCGTATCAACGTCGAAGGAGGACTAATCAGATCATCGAGGTGGTGGAGCAGATCTATTGCGCAGATCGCGTTGTCGTTGCTGCTGCTACGACGATGAAGCAGTGCTGCTATCGCTACAGATCAATGAAGACTGGTTGCTGCTATTGCTGCAGATCAACAAGGATACGACATTGTTTGCTACAGCAACAACAATAGCGGGGGGTGAAGAGGAGCAACCGAGGAAGCTGTGTCGGGTAGGTCAACGAGAAGAGCCAAGCGGTGGGTGAAGAGGAGCAACATAAGAAACTGGGTCGGTGACGGACGATGGTGGCGAGCGAGAAGAGCAGATCTAAGAGACTTGGCATTGGAGGAACATCTGGTAGAAGAGGAAATCGTCAACGAGGTAATCGCTATAGCAGATCAGCAAAGAAAAGGGATTGCTATCTTCTATAGCAAATCACACCATAATCTCAGGTATAAGGTACAAGAAGATGACACCAAGTTTAACTTGGATTAGTTCACACACCGATCTCGTATGGTTGCAGTGGAAGAAAAGACAATCAGAAGAGGTATGACTCCCAAAAAAACAACAATCTATCAGAAATTAGGAGGCTGCAATGTAGGATCTTCCAATTGAAAGCTTGTATTGCAATATAGGTGGCAATCTTCTCTTTCATTATTCCAATGTAATCCACACCTACCAAACCTTTTAATTTTTGTCAGACAGAAGCACGGAACAATGCAACCGTAATGTTAAGAAAAGGCATCCCGATAGCAAACGATTAGCCAAAGATTACGTGCTTGTATCAATGCACCCTTCATCATTTTGTATGGACAAACCAGCAAAGTTATGGGAACGGAAAGTGATCTCGCCAAATCGTCAGTTGGACCGATGGATCAATTGGCTGCACCACATCAATTACAAGTATTTTAGAATATATGAATTTATCCACAACTAAATATGGTAAAAAAATTAAAATACTATTGTTAATAAAAAAAATAAACAATGTTAGACAAATGAAAAATAAAATTTTTCATATAGACCACGATAAAAGTTAATAATATCAAACGACACTATAAACATAGACCTCTCATCCAGAATATCTAAAAAGTAATTACATGAGGATGTAGCATGAGAAGGTGGATATCAGTCAGAAATATTGGATGCGGAATCAAACACAGGTAAGTAAAACAAGGCATGGATTCCTTTTTATTGATATTTAAATAAAAATTGTGAACATAACAGACACTTAAAAATATTGATATCAATGTAACTATTTAAACAAGAAATATTGATATGGATTTAACATACATATATAATGAAAGTTTTTAAGCAAAACTTGTACTAAAAGCAAAACAGTGCATTTCTGATATCCCTGGATTTGATGGATCTGCTAAGCTGAGCTTTTTAACCACTCAAAACTGTTTTTCTTGAACAAGTTTAGCAGTCGAGCAATGGCTAAACTACTGATTTAGAGGACAGTAAATGCTTCTCTATCGCGACAGATTGGTACAATTCATATAACATGGATCACGTATCTGTAGATAAACAAATTATATTTAGCTCAGATCTTTGCAACAGCAGAAAACATAGTTCGATGTCTTTGCAATACAAGTACCTCTTCACTGAAAACATCAAAAAATTTGAGAGCATCAATAAGCTTAGAAAGATGTAACAGTACTATGTGCGCTTGGTTTGTTTGCTTGTTTTGTGCCAAATCACATCAGATAGACTAATATCATAATTCAAAGCATATATGTGTGCACCTAAACTACCAATACAGGCATAAATTATTTAAAGCAAAGCACAAAACAAGATCCTGCTACTAGAGTTTTCATTTGTCATAACAATATACACGATGCCTAAACATAGCTCTTCAAAAGGAAAAATCAGCAGGCCTGGATTACCAGCTACAGACCACACGAGGTAAGGGACAGCTTTTACAAGAAAGAAACACAACATAATTCTATAAATTCAAACAAACATACCGTCCCATGAAACATACGTCACCCTTGGTAGAACCTCAATCATCCAAAATTCAGAAAGTACTCCAGCCTTGGTAGAACCTTAATCACCCAAAACGCACAGAGGTTGCCTCATGCTAAGCTCTGCTCGAAGCTTTGGAAAAAGCTGTAGGTCGTTGCTTGTTCCCAAAACTTTCTGTCATCCAGAAAATCAAGTTACAAATAACTAGCAATAGGAGATTATCAGGACATTGCACTTTTGTTTGTCACAAATAACTTCAACAATGATGACTAAGTTTAATCTGGTGGAAGATGCACCACATAGCATGGAAACGTGCTCCTTAGTTCAGCAATAAAGTGAGCAAGAAATCAATAAACAATACAGAAGATAGGCAGTATTAATTAGAACCATCTTTGCTTAAAAGGTTTCACAAGAACAAGCAGATCAGTGTCCTGTCCTCTTTTCAGAACTCTGTAAACGAAAACTCCACTGAAACTCCTTAGGTACTTTTAAGTTGCATGTCTCCGTTGGAAATTGAGCATAGAGGACTCTAATGTGGTGAAGTTTCTAACATCACAGCCAAAACTTGGTACAACATTAAAACTATTGTCGTTGTCACTTCATTCTTATTTTGATAGCCATGAACCAGATCATGTAACTATAGAAACAAGTAATAGGACTAGCGACAATGAAGGACAACAGATAGCATAGAGCTAACAAAATGATCAAGGAGGCATACTGGCAGCAAAGGTAATTAATATATTCTGCAGAATGGGAACAAATCAGCAATACACCAGCAGAGACATTGCTATCAGCCACCAAAATGTCGGCAAGTGCTTGACATTGGACCCAATATCAAGATAATACAGGTATACTTAGTGTTACGTGGCAAACACTGGAACATAAAACCATGCTGTAAAGACTGGAACATAAAACCAAAAGAAATTACACACTGCCATCAGATTGGAATGAAGGAACCAAAAACCAAAAGGTCCTATCAAGTGATGAGTAATGATAAGTAAATAAAGGCTCCAACAAGACATAGTCCCAAGAGTTTCAAAGAAGACAAAACTTAAGGGATCCCAAACCTTAAACAGGCTCCGAAAAACATTAATTACAGAATAATTAATGTATGAGTTGAAGGAGCTGCCAACATGACATGAATCCCAAGGTCAGCTACATGGCATAAAAGGTTGACAAGATGAATCATCGAAGGTCGTATATGAATTCCCTTGCACTGAAAGACTTGGAAAGTAGAAATATTGTGACCTTTTTTTTTGGTAAAGAATGTCATAAGTATAAATTTTAAAAGATCATGGACACTTGATAAAGAAGCCCACTCAGCAACTGTCGGAGAGGTGGACATACCACTTTAACTCAAGAAGCATCCGGATAATAGCAAGAAGGATTTAAGTGCCATCTGGTGCCTAATCAAAATCAAGCACCTTTACAAAAGAAGCAGTTTTAAAATATAGGCCTAGAGTCATCTACTGGCAATATGCTCAAGACTACTCAGTTTAGGGTTGGCTCCAGTGTTCTTACCTAAGCTAAACTCTCGCCTATGTTTATTTAGGTAGGTCCGTTTAATCACAAACGAATTAAATAATAACACTGACAAGTCAACAACCTAGAAGGAATACTGATAGGCTTGTAAATATTCAATGTACTAATAAGAGTTATTAACCTTACATTACAGACGATCAGAAAAGATTCCATTGTTCTAGCATGTACATTATAAAAGTTCCAATGAAACATACGACAAAATTTAAAATGTCAGAATAAGTTAAACTTTTCTTGCAAACCATAACAAGAAAATATATCCAGGATGGTGAATATTACCAAGGCAGCAAGGTGAGCTTCCTGTAAAATATTTCCATCAATCTCCAATCTAGCAATTGGAAATTCTGGAATATGTCCTGATTGCTTCTTACCAAGCAAATCACCAGGCCCACGAAGTAGAAGGTCAGCATTTGCCAGGTAAAATCCATCAGAAGATCTTTCAAGTACTTTCAATCGATCGAGACCCGCAGAAGTAGAAGACAAGAAAACACATTTAGATTTTCTTTCTCCTCTTCCAACTCGTCCTCTCAACTGATGCAACTGAGCAATTCCAAATCTCTCAGCATTCATAACAACCATCATAGATGCATCAGGGACATCAACACCAATCTCAATGAGTTGTGTTGCAAGGAGTACACGGGTTTCCCCAGTTCTAAATTTTTTCAGTGCATCATCTTTTTCATCACTGGTCATGCGCCCATGCAGCAGACCACATTGGTAACCTCTAAAATTGTCTGGTATTGATTGAAAATCAGCAGTAGCAGCATGAAGCTGTGGCAGTTGCTCAGATTCTACAATTATTGGATAAACAAGATATACCTTTCCTCCTGCTATCAACTCATCTCTCATCATCTGCAATGACATGCAATATGTTTCAACAAAGATCTTCAGGACATGAACTAAAATGGTAAGTTGTTTTATTGTTATGAAATACCAAGATATTAAATAAATATCATTTTATGGGAAGCACATAGAAGGAAAAGTAGCCATTAATGATTTAAGGAATTCAGAGTCGCCATGTCAAGTTTTATGAGAGCATAGATTTTGTTTGGAAAGTTATTTTTGAATTTCTGCTTGCCAACTTTCCATTGAATTTCTTGTCTAGTATGCATGGCCTCGTAATAATGACAAATCAGACCTATGATCAATAAGGAGGAAGTATATCTCAGTTTTAACGAAAACATAACTGTGTTCATTAGAGTGTATGTGTGTGTGAGCATGCATATTTAGGAGAGATTGCAGGGCTACATGACCTTTTTTGTTGTGTCAATTGTTATTTTCTACTTGCTGAGTTTTGATTGAATTTATAGTCTCATAAAGCATAGCCTTGTATAATAACAACAAATCAGTCCTATTACCAATGAGGAAAAATATACATCACTTTTAACCAAAATCAAACAAGACTAAGTGTCTTTCTTAAGAGTGCTTGCATGTCTTCATGTTTAAGGGGATTCATGGGGATGTGAGACCTTTTTCCTTGCGACTTAACAGAGCTGTTCAGCTCAGGTTTAAGAGGTGGTGGCCCGATTCGCCCAAACCCTTCAGTGTGCATAAGAATGAGTGGGAGAGAGCGAGCACAATTTGGCAGTGACGTCAAATCCTATTGAGCTGACAGCTGAAGAAATACGAAGCAGGCAGTAAGATTGGTTCAAAGGGGCTACAAGGCAGTAACCCTTGTATCTGAGCCTAACTGTCCACAAAGGAACAGTCCACATCCCAAAATATGCCTGGATCAGTACACACCGCTGGTACATAATGGCCGAAGAAAATTAGGAACCATGTATCTGACATTCTAATGGTGCTGTCAAGTAATCTCAAGGTACTTATAAGTAATAAGCTTACAATACATGCATACCTATAGGCAAAAGCAGCTCATACAGGCCCTCAACCACACACATCGCATCGAGTGGCAGATCTAGTGTTTGTGTTCAGGAGCCCACTTGCATGCTCATGCCTTAAAGCTAAAGCAGCCTATACAGTCCCCTTGCACTTCATTCCGGCATAACAGGCCTCAACTTTATGTTATGAAACCCATCTGCATTTAGTCGTTTATTTTTCGGCCCTCTTGGCAATTGATTTGAAGTGCATATAGGTTGGATTTTTCTAAATATATGAGTGCATTTAGCACTTTTCTTAAATTATGGCTCTGTTAAGGGTGTCAAGTTGTCTCCCAACATTTAAATTTGAATCACTATTGGCAATCTTTGTATTTATAACAGATAAACGCTAATCATGTCCAAAAGACTATGCATTATATAGAAGATGAAACACTTAAATAGTTGTCATTCTAAATTTCTACGAATACATAGCACATGGTTTGAAAAGCAGGTCCAACAGTGTTACTGACTGGTATCTGCTGTTCCGACCAAATGTTCATAATGGTTCATACAACTCGGCATCACTCAGTAGACTGCTCATTTATTATATCAATGTTCGATTACATCATGCGAGACAGGTCAAAATACGATGTGGTATTTTGATATCATACCAATCTGACAATTTGTCAGATCCAGTATTGGACCAGTATTTAAAAACTTGAGATAGCATATTAGCTATTATATGTTTAATCTAACTAGGAACTTTTGATTCTGTTGCAATGTAATGTGCTCAAATGGTTACGCCACTAATAAGCGGCTTGGTGATTTTAATAAAAAAACTATTTAGCAAATTTTATGGGTAATTTGGAATGTCACAAACCACAAGTTATGGGACTCACACTTGTGGGCCCACTTAACCCAATAAGACTAATCAGCACTTCATGTTGCATTACTTGCTTGTAGAACAGTCTTCTCCATATATTATTTCTTAGCTTAAAATTTTATCAGCTTATTCACAGTTTCTTTAAATTTTACTTTAAACATGTCATAGGATAACTACAAAAATCAATAACCGCATCTAAAGAAAAAGTTTGAACAAGATAATTTTAATCAGGGCATAATAATCAAAGCTTACCTACTTTGCAATTAAAAATATATATATGGAACAGCTGAAGAAAATATAACGTGACATTCATTTACTAGTTAAACAGGCATCCCCACTTAAAAGTTAAAACCATAAGAAAACTGAAACGAATCAGAAGAGTGATGCACATGCAAAAGGCACATTTTAGCTCACAATGATGGAATCCTTCAGATTACAGAACGAACTGGCTACACTAAGCTTTACACAAATTAAAAGATGATTGTGCAGCTATTGTCAGGGTACAAAATAGTTTATAAAATTGTATTAATTGTTACCTGGAATACCTTCTCAAAACCAATTTCATTTTCTTCAATAGCAAAAGTCTGCACTGGTGACCGACCAGGAGGCAAATCTGTAATCTACAGGAAAGAAGATCAAAGACAATGATCAACTAATCACAACTAAAACACAATGGAACTAAAAGCACTACGGTTGGAGTTATGAATATTGTTAACATATTCAAGGGCATATAAGCTGCACACATGATGTAGTCCAAGCTACAGATATCATTCTATAACATTAAAGACAAGATCTGAAAGTGTTTTTCACCATTACAATCAAACATATGAGAGAAATTGTCAAATGTTTTCCACATAACATGAATTTCATTTAATTTTCTATTTTAGTAGTTTGCTCTCCCGTGCAAAAATTATGATGCTAGTTTACCCCCTTATTTTCTATTTGTCAATAAAAAAGACACAAGTAAAGATGTGAATTCGAGAATAATTATTTGATATGATAGCTTGTACTTAAGTAAAGATGTGAAAAATGGTCACTGAGTCATGTGAGTTTTCACTTTTTTCCGTCTCCCTTTTTTCCAAGCTTCTGTTTTTTGTATAATAGAAGAAATTAAGCTAGATTGTATCAACGCATAAAGAGAATAAATGATCTCTACTCCAATAAATAATACTACTGATCACTTCATTCGAAGTATTGGGAAGAACAAACCATTCAACCTCAATTCTCAAGTAATCACGAATTATGCCATTAATTGTGTGTATAAAAAGCGAGAAAAGAAATATGTACTTGAGTTAGAGACATATCCCCAAATAAAGCCAAAGCCAATGTTCTTGGGATTGGAGTGGCTGACATTGCAAGAACATGTGGAGCCATATAAGCTTTATCTTCAAGAGAATCATCCAAGTTTCTCCAGTTCATTCTTAAGCTTGGTGAAGCAGAATATAACTGTAAAAAAAATTATCTTCCATTTGAGTCAGAGGCATCATTGATTATAGAAGAAAATAACAAATTAAAACAATACTATAGCTACAGTAGCATCTAAGTCTGCACATATAGACTGAGCTTGGCTAACATTTATTTGCGTTTTAACAAAACACTATTTGTTAAGAATGATGTATACATGCTGGAAGAAAACATGTTGAATGATGACAGCACAATTTCATGTTGATTCAGTAAAACAATCATAAAATTGTTTACAAGGTCAGAACAACAAATAAAAATAACATATGAACAAGAAAATGGCATGAAGCATCATATCACCTGATCAAAAAAGGAAAAAAATCTACCATTATAAAAGAATTTAGATGTGGAAAGAAAGACTACATAAAAAGCTCTTACATAGTCACAAGTTAAAGTTCATGCCTTCATGGAGCTCAAGTTGAAGTTATTTGGATTGAGAATTACCAAACTTGACAAGTTATTCACTCACAAAGGATAAAGCTAATTTGTTAAGATGGTAAAAGGCAAAGTCTCAAATCTCAGTCCAATACCTATTTCGTTGAGTGTGTTGTGTTGATACACCCCCATTCTGAACAATAATGGTCCAGTTAAGAGAGGAGAGAATTGAAAGTGAGGGAGATTGAGGAAGAGTGAAGAGGGGAGAAGGAAGCGGAGGTGAGGATAAGGAGGAAGAGGTGACAGACAGAGGAGGCAGGGCAGCAGTGGCGGAGGTGGTGGCAAGGGAGGAAAAAGAGAAGAAGGTCATCATGGTGGCAGGAGGATGGGGAGGGAGCAACAATGCCACAGGGAGGAGGCCATGGCTATATGATGTGAAGAAGGGGAGAGAGATGGACAAAAGGAAAGTGAAGAAAAAAGAAAAGACAGATGGATGACAGCCAACATAATTTTTTTAAAAAAGGAAATATTGATACCAGAGTGGTAAGTTTACTGCACTATGTCATTCGGTGCTGGTCTACATATCCTCCAGTAAGCTTAGAAATGTCATTCAGTGCAGGTCTACATATCTTCCGGGAATAAGATTAGCATAATGAGCTTATTGGGCAGCACAGCCCACAGCTGAACCATCACTCAGTCCACCCCCTGATTGGCTGTCAGATCAGTAAATACCGACCCGTATCAATCGATAAGCATAGTATTTTAGAGCCTAGACATTAGATACAATACTAATAGATCACATAGTCGTATGTTATTAGTGCAATTTTGACAAAAATGGAGCTAAAAATTGGAAAACAGAAGTCCACAGCTTCAGCTAGTACATCAACGAATTTACATTAATGGGAATGCACATTTAGCTAGTCAAACTATGGGAAACCTTATGTTAAAACAAGACTCCGTCTCCAAAAAAGAAAAGATTTCTGCCCAAAAGGAGACATTAATTCTCGAAACAAATGCAGATCTCAAGCAGGAACATTAAGCAGGAAGAATACCATAGTACAAAATGTTCTAGCAACCAAGATCTTCATGAATAAAGCTATTACCAAACGAATTTGACAAAAATAATTAAAAAATAGTTGAAAAGAAATATTTTTACCAAAATGACTTATGGTAGAAAATCCAAGGTAAAAACAAGTACCAAACTGTAAGAGCCTGTGTTGTCAAAGGCGCTAAGAGCTAAAAGGCGCCAAGGTTTCAAAACACACGGGAAACCAAGCGTTCGCCTAAGCGAAATGAGATGCTCATCAATATAAAAATTATAAAATATAATTAAGCAGGAAAACAAGAATTAAAAAATTAGACAATACAGTACAATCTATGATTACCATGATTAAGATCCCAGGATTCTAAAACTATAGTGACAAGTGACAAATTCAGTAATTAACACAATTCATAAACTATTATTAACAAGAATTGCAAGGAGAAACAAAGAGCGAAGGAAGTTAGTAATGTGGGCCATCGGAGCCCCACTGAAGTAGAGAGGAGAGGGAAGGGAGAAGGGGGAAGAGAGAAGAAGACAGGGTGTGTTGTTGGGGGGATTGGGCGACTTGTCATGAACAAATCTGTACAAAGGGTGTTCACTGTAATGTTTGTGTTTGTTTGTGTCTTTTAGTTTTGTTTATACTTTGCACAATATGTAGAGGGCTTACAGTAGGCTTAGCAGCCCCACTTTGATTGGCTTTCGTGGTCGTCTTAGTCCTGTAAATGCAGGCTGTGTGTAGCCATCACGCAGAGACAAAACTATCCAAAAACAGGCTATCTAAGCAACCATTTGAGGGTTTTCTAGCTCTACAGAGTGGTGCAAAGTATCAGCCAACATAGCACCTTGGAGCTACCCAGGTGGTACGTGGTTGGATGAGCCTTTGGGATAGTGTCTAAGGCTAGTTCATTGCGTTATTCCACAACAGTGTCATGTGGGTACTTATGGGGACTTTTGGCAGCGGCGGACCACCTTGGACTTTTATCGCGTGGCTGTTCAAAGCTTACAAAATCTATATTTATAATTTGTATTACATATTAAGTGTTGACTGAAATGTCTACTTGTACAATTCTGAGTTAAATGCTTCCTCCAACCTGTCTTATCTTTTACAAGTCCTTAACGGACCATGAGAGGTTTCGAGGAGGTTGATCCTTTACGGACAGACACGCAAAGGTATCGCACGACTTAAGCAAAACCAACCAAGTCTATGACAGATAGTATAATAACCGAACAAACATGCTTAGAAACACTTGGCATGCAAACGTGGGAATCCTAGCGTGACTGCGTTGAAGGCAGCTAGTATGCGTGACCGTTTGAGGGAAACAAGCGTAGAGACGTAGGAAAAGGAGTCACTCGTAGGAGCAAGTATTAGAGATTGGCATTCAAAGGAATGGTCAACCCTTCGCGCAAGAGACACTACGAGGCCAAGCAAGTTGGGAAGAACACATAGCGCACAAAAGTTGGGATAGCTGAGTTCGAGCTATAACTCACCATTGGCAACCAAACTTGACGGTGCTCAAAGTAAGCAGAGCGCTTGGCAAAAGATGAGACCGTGCAAAGAGAGATGGGTTGCTCGATAACTGAAAGAGTTGTGCAAAGCTCGTAGAGGTGGGGAGAATTGGTAACTCAAAAAATATAGTACTCGTGCAAGGGCTTGTATACGGATGATGGACTGTCCATGGCCATCCCAAGGCAACCAAACCTCGACGTCATAGAGCATGAAAACTTTCTCTTCGACATAGGAAGGATATGCTCGTAGGAGGCTGAAGCGTGTAGTAGATTCAACATGTTGCTAGCCCTTGAGGGGCATAGAGGAGGCTATATTGGCGAAGAGTCATAATCTAACAAGTGCGTTTACGGTGGTGGAATAGTGCACAGTTAGTTCAGCAAGGCAGAGTAGTCTAAGGGGATGGTAGTCTTCGAAACTTCTAGAGGGAAGGATGCGAAGAGAAAAGTTGCTCTAACGAGATGGTGGACTTATCTATGAGAGATAAATCCCGATTCTCTAGTGGGAGAATCATGTGCAACGGACTGCACATGTTGATGGGGTACCTCAAGATGACAACTCCATAAAGCTCAATGGACCGAGCAAGCGACGAGGAGTCGTCGTATGATCTCGCACAAGGTAATGCATTGGTAGACGCATTGCGAGATCAAGTCGGAGAGCAACCCTAGGCAACACTAAACGAATGCACACTTAGAGCCAATGTGGAGATCGAACTTAATGGAGGGGTGACCCGTGGATTGGTGGGCGCAATAGCCATCATCAACTAAATACAAACTGAAAAACGGAGCAACTTGGGTGAAACTTAGTGAAGTGCTCAAGCCACATGAAGGGAGTCGATATAAAAGACGAAACATGGAGCAGAGGCGTGAAGCTTTCATCAGACAGAAGTCGAGGACATGAACTCTTATAAAGGCAAGAGCAAGATCATGTCATTCTATGAGTCCCTCATTCTGATAAAATAGACCTATGTTGGGTGGTGCAAAAGTCGAAGAGAGATTCAAGACACATACACCTTATCTCGATGAAGCAATTGATGGAGGGACTAAGGCAACTCAACTAGCAGAGGCGAAATTGAGATCAAAAGGCCTTGACACGGGACAAGAGGACGCGGAGGCGGGCACTCTTAAAGAATATATCGATGTGCTACCGTTTGAGTTGCCCCAAAGGAAGCTGTGCACAGTGGAGATTGTGTTGGGAAAGGAGGCTGAGATCCATACAATGACGCACCAATTTCAACGAAGTCAGTGGACTTCGAGAGTTGCTGAGCGACGGAGTATCATAGAGTTGCACTTCGTTCGTGTGTGACACGAGAGCGGGTGGATGAAGGTCGATAGACAAAGAGGAGCAAACACAATCGGAGGTGACGAAGGCCCTACGATGTGCTAGCATATGTCATACATGGAGAGATCACAGTGCGAGTTTATCTCACAAATATTATTAATGCAATGGAGATATCACTAGGAAGCGACATGGTGTAACAAATCGTGGTGGAACAGTTCAAGACAATGCAACACACAAGGGAGAAGTCCCATGAAGGACTTATCATACAAAAGTATGATCAGAAGCTATTGAGAGCTCCACTTCGGTAAGCAACAAGACGACAATAAGGGTTATGGATTCAAGAAGTGAATGTTATGGTATAGCATAGGCAAGTCTTCCGTGCGTGGACTGAATTTTGCATTGGATGAAAGCCTTGGTTATCAGCATATGAGGGGGTTGTGTACCACAGAGGGGGATTCCAAGTGCAAGTACTAGTGAATCCCATGGGGTAACTTCATTCGATTGGAGGGAGAGCGCATGGTCGTGAAAGGGAACCGAGAAGGTAAAAAATACAAAGGCAAACTCTAAGTACTGAGACAAGACCGAAGTGTAAAGGCTTGGGAACTTCGTAAGACCAATGTCAACGTGCTTCTTATCAATGTAGCCAAAAGTGGGGAGACTTTAGGTCAATGAAGGAGTACCCAACCAAGGAACGGAGTAGGTAGCATGCATGCAGTGATGTACCTTTTATATTCAGAGGAGTAGGCGACAAAAATGATAGAGAAGATGGTACAATCTCATAGGCGTACAAAACTATCTAAGACTCTTAAGTTGAGACAAATTTTTTTTATTTCGGGCAATGAGACGAATTGCAATAACTAATTCAACACAATGAGTGCAAACACTTTGGGTGCTTCAAAAGTGTGAGCAAAGAACAGGCAAAGGCTAGTTACCAACTTGATACATGAAGTACAACCCTCAAGGAGGTAGGCAAAGTCAAGTAACCTTTGCCTTCTCAGCTCTTAAGAGAATAGACGAAATCGAGTACTCCAATTCTTGTATTTATCCAATTGACACATGTTCAAAGGTCCCTCAAAGAGACTTAATAGAAGACAATAATTGTCAAATCCTCACCAATGGTGGTCGGTTCTATCGAGAGTAGATTGTTTGCCTCATTTTCCAATAGAATGTCTATCGAAAGCAAAAATAATGCGAACCTATTTGAGACAACCTATCGAGAGTGATGCTGCGAAGCAAGAATAGGAGATTGGTGAGGAGGGGGGATCGAGAATGTTGCACATTGTCATACTTACAAGCACTCTCACACCACACGTCACACTATATATGTGGACTCTCATATCGCACATCACTATACATATGAAAAATACATTTTCCTTACAAATTATCTCTTTTTTATGCTTATGCAATGCATATATTAAACTTGTACCTTAACCAAACTCATGGTAATAATATCAATCAAAATAAATTTTTAAAAATATATTATGAACGTATATAATACATATGATCACAGTATCACTAATTTGCCTCAAAATTGAAGTGCCAACAAAAGGACCACAATCTTAATGAACAAATGTGATATAGAGCTGTAAATATGCATTATTTGGAACACATGGTCATGTTATGTCTAAAGTAAGAAGCATACATCTTAAGATACTTTACCGGACCTATATTAGTGATTGGTCGATCAATATGCACCGATCCGATTGATACACTGTTACTTTGTTATGTTGGTCTTACCAATGACTCAAAAAGGAAGGAGCAGCGGGTCAAGAAAGAGGAGGGAGGAAGAGAAGAGGAAGAAAACACGTACAATGGTGCTTGCTGCTCAGGGGCAAAGAGGACCTGTGGACATGGCAGGCCCTAAACCAAACATTAAGTATTTTTTTATTTTTGATTTGTTTTTTACAAGGGGAACCAATCAACCCAAAACGGGGATGGTCTGTATACCAATTCATGCCTGAATACCATCCATTTTGTATGATACCAGTACAAAATGCAGTCTATAGGTGACAGCTTCCATTAATATAAATATATATGTAAAATAAAATTAACTTCTTTTGCAAGTTTGGATACGATTATAAAAGGTTAAGAAAGACTTGCTAAAGCTCTTTATATACAGTATACTTCAACACCAATAACTATTTCATAAATTGAAAATTGTATCGGGGTTATAAAGGTTAAGATGAGGAAGTACAACTTGCTAGGGAGTGAAAGTTCTAGGTAGGAAAAGAAGAGATGGAAGGAGAGTAGAGTAGAGAACAAGAGGAAGAAAAAAATACCTTATTCATATTAATTTTCCTATAAATTACTTCTAAATTACTCAAAAAATAAGAAAGAACATCCACAGTAAAGAACTTCTAGTATAAAAGGAAAGATCTTAGTGAAAAGCAAACAACCTTACTGTTAAATTTTCCTCTTTGGATGACACCAAAGCGATGCTGCTCATCAATGACTGCGATACGTAAAGCGGAAAATTCAACTTTCTCAGCTATAAGGCGGTGAGTTCCAATCACCATTGCTATTTCTCCCATCTGAAGACCCTGTTGACCAACAAGAGAAAAATAAGACTAAGATAATTACCTAAACCACAAAAGAATTAGGAAAAACACGTGCCTTGAGAACCATTCGTGACTGCTTTGAGGATGTAGAACGAGTTAATAAGGCAACAGAAGGTGTGCATTCAGTCCCTCCAATATTCTCCAACAAAGAAAGCAAATGTTCATAATGTTGGATGGCAAGCAGCTCAGTTGGAACCATAAAAGCAGCCTGACAGAAGTTTTAGCACTTTACAATATTGATGGTAAAGCTTATTATTAATAAGCAGGCCAGAAATGCTAGCAACATCATATAAATTAGGATAAAATCAATTGGCAAGTGCATATCTTGATGTATCCAACCTGAAATCCTGAGCTTATAACTTCCATACAAGCCAAAAATGCAACAACAGTTTTCCCGCACCCAACATCACCCTAAAATAGAATTTCTCCGTTCAGTAATCATTTGGAAATCATCAATAGGTGAATTTTATTGTTACTATAAAATCACATGCAGGAATCTATTAGACATAAAATTGAAAAAAAAAAAAAAAAGTAGAGCAACTGAACAGCTTGACAGCAAGATCATTGCTGTTCATAAAGCTCAGAAATGTGAACAAAAGGAACTCACTTATTTCATGATTTTAATTAAGATATAACTGAAATAGTGACTAAATTCAAAGAAAAAAAGGCCAACGAAACCAAACATGTCCTCGGTACAGCAGGAGAGAAAACATCAGTCTACAAACAGTTATAAGAATAGCTAAAGATACCAGCTGTCTATAATAAATATTCAAAGTTGGATTAACATCCAGTTAAATACAGAGGCACAAACACATTTGAATAGATGATACCGCTGCACTTTCTATTTTCCTTTTCTGGGGAAAACTAAAAAATTAACACTGCTACATGCTTCTTTCTGCTTCTAAAAATATGTTAGTTTCCTTAGGAGGAGACTGGTTCACACAAAGTGACCTAACATCTTGAGCCAAAACTTTAGTAATTGACAGATCCAGTCATATACGCCCAACCAACCCCTTTTTCCATCTCATGACATTGAGCTATAATGTGTTACAAGTTACAACCTCCTCCATTTGAAGGCATCATGTCCTCATTAGGTAGCCTAGAGTCTACCTCTGGGATTCCTATATGGGACCAATCAAGGAACCATAGTCCTAATAGTTGGCCATGGTTGACCCAGACTGAATAGGCCTCTTACCACTTGTTTGAAAAAACTTATACATGCAGAAATCTTTTTGTGGTATTTTGAATAATATAGGAATAAGAAACAGTGGGACAGTGTTCATGTTCAAAAACCAATTTCAAGTTATAGCTAAAAACGAAAAAGAAAATAAAAGACAACACCTGTAGAAGTCTATTCATCGGAACAGGCCTCTTGAGATCCCAAATAATCTCTGAAACTGCATTTTGCTGACTAGGAGTAAGAGAATACGGAAGAGCCTTTAGAAAACTCTTAGCAAGATCAGACCAATCCTTAACACAGACAGTGTTTAATTCATGGTTCTTATATTTGTCCAGCAACTTTTCCTTCTCCATTGGTGTTCCAATTGCATCAAGCATCTGAAATAGTTTTGCCAACTGGAACATAAAAAAAAAAATTTAGTCACAATGCATTCATAAGAAATAAATGATAACGAAGAAGTATATCATAAGCTCCTAACAAGAAGTATAACTACAGGTGAAAGTGTGAAAACCAATAAAGTTAAGTGCAGATTTAGCACAACAGTAGCAAAATGAAGGATAGAAGTCCAGGTGAAAGTATTAAGTAATCTTGCATCTGGAATACTCCTAATTAAAACTTTGAAATTCTAATCAGAGTGCAGCAGAATCTCGAAATTTGGGAATTGAAGATTGCATTATTGAAGCAAGGTAATGTTCTTCCTTTCATAATTGATGTGGGAAAGTTTTGTGGCATGCACATTGACAAGTTACAACACTAAAACATAATAAGACAACTCAGCCATTATATGAACTAATACTTAATTCCATTATTTTAGCAGCAAAAAAGAGCAGCTTGTGACAAAATTGAAAGTAGCTGTAACCAAGGATTGAAATATCGTACCGTACCAAAGTTTCGATATTCTCTCGGTACGGTACGGTACTGTACTGTATACTGCTCGATATATCGTTCGGTATATATATATATATATATAATTATAAAAAAATACTGCCCGGTAGCGAGCGGTCCACGTATTGGTATATACCACCTGTACCGGGTGGTATCATTCGAAACTGTATACCTTAGTTGTAACTAAAAAAACAAATTAGGTGACAAAGCCAAAACAGCATCCTGCTTGCTTCCAGGTTTCCAGAGTCTGAACCACTAATTGGTGTTATAGCACCAGTTCTCTCAAAATGAGACATGGGAATAAGAATGATTAAGATCAGCTTACGCAATACATAAATCACTTATCATGGTAAGCAAAGGGACTTTAGCACATGTAGTCTGTATGGCAGCATATGTAAAACAGTATGCAAGTTTATTGTTTAAAACGGCCATTTGCTGTCTCAGCCGGTTTGGTTCATACCAGCTAGTATTTACCGGTCCGAGCCTGAACCAAGATGTCAATCGCCCCCTTTTCGAGTGATCTGGTCCAATATATTAAAAAAGAAAAAAAAAATCCTATATAATTCAGGTTTATATGAGCACTCTTCGCAGTATAAGCTCCCTCTGCAAGTCGTCTAATACCAACCGTTGTGTGTTGCTAATTTTGGGTATGTTCCCTACTCCTCCATGTCTCCTCTTCTTTCTTCAACATCCTCCTTCACTGCCTCCTCTTCTTCCTCTTCCTTCTTTCTTCCTCTTCCTCCTCTTTTATCTTCCTTCATATTGCAAGAGCTCTTTGTCATACATGCCCCTCTACAAGTTGCATAGCCACCCATAGTGTGTCGCTAATTTCTGATATGCTTCCTTCTCTTCCTCCATCGCTTCATCTTCCTTCCACTTCCTCCTTTCTCTTCCTCCACATTCGCGAGCCCCCTTGGTTGTACACACACCCCCGCTACCA